AGATTTATCCTGTCCCGTTAAAAACACTTCCTAAATCTCTCATATAGCCACTCCCTTTTTACTCTTCTTCATTTCTCACCAGGAGTAGCTTCCTAACTGGTCCTTGCTTCCAGTTTCGTTCCTCTCTAATTCAACATTCACTTCACTGTCTAAATGATGGGTCTAAAATACAAATCTGATTCTACCATAGCAAAGTTTAATTTTTCCCCCCACTAAATCCCCACAACCTTTGGAATTAAGTTAAAGTTCCTTCACCTGGTTCATAAGACAATCATTGATTTGGCTTATTACTTCATCCACCCCTGCTCTAAAGCTGTGCTGATGCTGTCCACTCACCTGGGGCTACATAGTATGTGAATGTAGTTGTCCAAACTGAGAGGTGCTATAACTGTAAACTATACAACAGATTCTAAAAACAACATAAAATTATGCACTGGATTCTGAAGACAGTATGAAATGGAAATGCCATATTTCAATATTATTTTTTATACTGAATGCATGTTAAAATGGTATTTTGATAAACTGAGTTAAATTACATTATCAAAATTAATTTCACTTTTTATTTTTTAAAATGTTACTAGAAAATTTTAAATTGTATGCATGACTTCTATTTGATAAACTGAGTTAAATTACATTATTAAAATTAATTTCACTTTTTATTTTTTAAAATGTTGTTACTAGAAAATTTTAAATTGTATGCATGACTTCTATTTGTGGCTTGTATTAAATTTCTGTAGGGCAGCACTAGTATAATATGTACTTTCCCTGTTTCTGGACCTAGTTAACTCTTACCTATTATTCAAGATTAGCTCAGGTAACACTCTACGATGCATTCTAGATACTCTTCCCCCATACCCCCAACTCTAAGTCAACTACCCCTCCTCTGTGCTTCCATCCATAGGAATGTGTGCACACCCCTGTCATATATGTGTGCACACCCCTGTCATACTATAATTATTGGTTATCACCTATCTTCTCTTCCTCAACTGTAAGCTCTTTGCAAAAAGGAATCTTACATTCTATAATACTCAGGTCCTACCTACCACCATGCCTGGCACTTAAAAGGTACTCAAGGCCAGGCTCGGTGGCTCACGCCTATAATCCCAACACTTTGGGAGGCAGATCATGAGGTCAAGAGAGTGAGATCATCCTGGCCAACATGGTGAATGAAACCCCATCTCTAACAAAAATACAAAAATTGGCCAGGCGCAGTGGCTGACACCTGTAATCCCAGCACTTTGTGAGGCTGAGGTGGGCAGATCACGAGGTCATAGATGGACACCATCCTGGCCAACATGGTGAAACCCAGTCTCTACTAAAAATATAAAAAATTAACTGGGCGTGGGGGGGCACACCTGTAGTCCCAGCTGCTCAGGAGGCTGAGGTAGGAGAATCGCTTGAACCCGGGAGGCGGAGGTTTCAGTGAGCCAAGTTTGCACCACTACACTCCAGCCTAGCAACTGAGTGGACTCCATTAAAAAAAAAAAAAAAAAAAAAAAATTAGCTGGGCGTGGTGGTGGGCACTTGTAGCCCCAGCTACACAAGAGACTGAGGCAAGAGAACTGCTTGAACCCAGGAGATGGAGGTTGCAGTAAGCCAAGATCGCACCACTGCACTCCAGTGTGGGTGACAGAGCGAGGCTCCACTTCAAAAAAAAAAAAAAAAAAAAAAAAAGTACTCAAACATTTGTCAAACAAATGTAAACTATGCCTGACCTGAAGGTTACTAGAATTTCTAGTTCCTGCAGGAAAACAAACCAGCCTTTAGGGAGCCTAAGCTGTACCAGGAGCTTTAGTAATGAAAGGACTGGGAAGGACAGTGTGTGTGTGTGTGTGTGTGTGTGTGTGTGTGTGTGTGTGTGTGTGTGTGTGTTTGGGGGGGTGGAGGGAAGGGGGGCAGGGGTGGAATCACAATAAAGAGATCAGCAAATGACAGAATAAAGCTCATCATACACATCTGCCTCTTACAGTGAAAACAGGAATTTGCAACATTGATATGGAGCCTTGAACTCACACTTGGCATGCCAGGGGCCACAGTTTGGTTCCTAAATTACTTAAACAACCCATCCAACAAAAGGGTAAGATTTGGCAGGTATCAACACAAACGGCTAGGGCCCAGCACCTGTTCCACTTCAACAGCACATCAGTACAGTTAAAAACAACAACAAATCTCTCTCATGAAGCAAATGCTAATCTCATGATGCTTCACCATGGAGCAATTTAGAAGAGTTATTATATGAAATGTGCCAAAGCATGAATTTATAGCGATGCTTATTTGCAAATATGGTTGGCATTGCTAGATGCTGAAAAACATATATGCAAATAAGCAAATAAAAGTTTTTAAGCTCTCAGACTTAAACATTTACATTACCATAAATGTACAAAGATAAATGTTTATATGAGTACACGTATAACGCATTCCAGGAACACATTTTTAAATGTGATTGTCAGGAAACAGTTATGAAGTGGCATCATTTCTTTATGGGCCTTCAGGGTAGACCCTTAAAAATGAATTTTGAATGTTAATAGGCTACAAACATTATTGTGGAAATTTCTGTATACTATCAACTGGATAAAGCGAATAGTTGCGGAAGCATAATAGTTCAAAGTGATCTTATCTTTTTCTTTCCCCAAAACACTTGTCTTCTAACTCTAGAACACAGCCTCACCTAAATTTTGGCCCCTAAACTGGGGTGGGGGTGAGGGGTAGTGAGAGAAGAGAAGGCACGCACATGAAAAAGCCTTAAAGAAAATAATTTGACTCTTTCCCCACATAATATAGTCATGTTAGAGACTCCAAAATAAAGACATGATAAAATATTTCCCTTTCTCTCTCTGACAGCAATGAAAAGGGTATGTTTGTTTTTTCACATAGTTTATGAGTTGGTCATACCCAAAACTCACTAGCAATGCTATTAATTCTATTTCCATTGTTAACTGTTCATCCCTGGACTGAGGCTACAGCCCTCATCTTTGAAGCCAAGTAACTGTACCATATCTGCCATTATAGTTTACTAAACAAGTCGCCAAAGAAAAGTCGGAAAGTAATTAGGGTCGTCAGTGAATTGAGCTATCTAGAAATGCTCTGAGATTACAGAAGCCATCATGAAATGAGTATCCAAGATTGCTCATGGAAAGTTTCACCCCTGTGGATAATTCGCGTTTTTCACTTCCACACTGCAGAGAGCAATATGGGTTCTCTGACTACACACATCACTACATCACTTCATTTATCTGAGGGGGAAAAAAAAGACGCTGTGGCTGAACAAAAATCAGTAGGTAGGCCCCAAAACGGAATCCTCAAGGCAATCCCAAATCAGGTGAAAAGCTGTTCACGTACATCATCTAATGACCTAAAAATAGTCTTTTATGTAAGTCTCTAAGTATTTAATTCAACGTATGATCTTACCACATTCAACAGAGGCAAATACATATATATGTGTATATATATATATATATATATTTATTTATTTTTGAATTAGCTTTTCTATAGCAAGGCCAATAAAGATGAAATCATAGTTTTCCTCTAACTCATCACTACCCGCTCAACGCCAGCCTCCCAATAACTCCATCCCACGGCCCTCAAATTCCTGAACTTGGATCTTTAAAAAACAAGGAATCGCAGAAAGTAACACGGCACAGGCCGAGGCGGGCGGGGGAGGAGGGTCCCCGGCGGTGCGCTCCGCCGTCCCCAGCGCAGCCGGAGGAGGAAGGCGCCGAAGCCGGCTCGCAGACGGACGGTGCCCGCGACGCGGGGGAGGCGGCGGGCGCGGGTCCCACGGCAGGTCCGCGCCGCGGGCGGAAGGAAAGTTGCGAGCACGGGCGCGTCCAAGGGCCGGGCGGAAGCGAGCCGGGCGGCCGGACCGCTCACCGCCCCCGCCGGCCGCACGTCCGCGGGCTCCGCCGCCGCAGCGCGCAGGGGGCCGCCCGGCTCCGTCCCGACGCTCGCGGGCGTGGGGCGCGCTGGCCGCGCGGACCCGGCAGCAGCCCGAGCAGCCCCGCCCGCCCCGGCCTCCCCGCCCCGGCCCCTCCGCGCCCCGCGGCCCCCCGCAGCCCCCCGGCCGCGCCCGCGGGCGTCCCTCGCGGCGGGTCCCAACTTTCCTGCCTCCCGGGGCCGCCGCCGAGGGAGGGGGCAGGGGCGGCGGGGGGCGGCGGCGGGGCCGGGGGTGGCCGGGGAGCGAGAGCCCGCGCCGGGCGGGACGCACCGGCCGCCAGAGCCCCGGCGGCGGCGCCACCCAGACCCCGCCCGGCCTCCCCCGGGTCGGCGCCCTCGCCCCGCGGCGACCGGGTCCCCCCGCCGGCGCGCGAGCGGAGCGGAACCCCGGGGACGGGCGCCGCCGGGCCGCCGTTACCTGAGGGGCGCGCGCGCCGCCGCGGCGACCACCATCGCCGTCCGTCCCGTCCCCGTCCTGGCGACCACGGCCGCCGCCGCCGCCGAGCCGCTCACACCGACTAACAACAACTAACTAACTCCTCGCCGCGGCCGCGTCCGCCGCGCGCCCGGCCCACCGGCCCGCCCGCCTCCTCCCGGCCCTCCGCGCGCCGCCCCTCCGCGCGCGCCCCCGCGCTCCTCCCGCCGCGCGCGCGCGCACGGGCCCCCGCGGCCTCCCGGGCCCCCCCTCGGCCCGGCGGGAGGAGTCGCCGCCAGGCCCCGCCCTCCCGCGGTCCCGCCTCCCGAGGACGAGGCCGAAAGGGAGCCTGATTGGCTGCGGAGGGCGGGGCCGAGGCCAGGGGCGGGCTGCCGAGACCTTGAGCCCGCGGGAGGGAAAATCGGGGTTCGACGAAGGGAAGTCTGGGCGCGTCTGGGCGTTAGAGCCCGCCGGGTCAGCCGTCATCGAATACGGACTATGTCTTCGGAGACGCTAGTATACAGTCGTGACCCGTTTCAGTCCCTCTGCTTTCTGCGGGCCTTCGCAATAAAAAACAAAAAAACTACATCTCCCAGAAACCTCCACGACAGTAAGGCTCACCTTGCGTAACCACGTAGTCCTTCGCCGCACTGGGGCAAAATAATCCCTCCATTTTTCGGAAGCTGCCGTGGGAAGTATTTCATTTTTCTCCTCACCGGAGTCATTGTAAACGTTATGCGGTGAGAGGAGGTCCCTGCGGGAAGGTGGTTAAGCGGTCAGGTAAAGAGAAGGAAAGGACACCAAAGTAAGGTGCTGCGGAAGAATTTTTGTCCAGCTGTGAGATGACGAGTGCGTGGAGCGAAGGCGATTGAGAGGGGCCGAGGGACTTGTCCTCTGTGCCAGCGGCTTTCTTTAGGCCCCGGGCCCCTTCCCGCCCCCGTCGTCAGCAGGTCAGTAAGCCAGGCGAGCTCGGGGTGGCCCCAGTCGAGATGCCCTTCACCCCTTGAAGAGCACTCCTCTTTCGGCGGGGGTCTTGGTTTGCCTTGGTCGGAGGCCGGCTGAATGGGGGCGCCTCAACTTCCGGTTGGGGGAGGGGAGGGAGGCCGTCCTGGGGGAGGGGGCGCCCTCACTTCCTGTGGGGGGGTGCGGCCATGGTTTCGGGGGTGTCCAACCCGCTTCGAGTGCCGGTGAGGGCTGGAAAGGGCGGCGCGTGGTGCCGTTCGCGGAGCCCGAGTCGTGCGGCCCCGGGGCCGTGTGCGCCGTGAAGTCGGGTCCTTCCGAGCGCGGCGAGCGCCGACCTGCAGCCGGGACGTCCGCGCCGCTCTCCGCGCGGCGGAGGGAGCCTGTCCGCCCGCGCGGAACGGCCTCTGCCTGCCCCGGAGCGTTCCGGAGCCCGGGTTCGAGTTCTCTGCCCGCCTCTGCGGGACGGCCTGTGCTGTGTGGCCGACGAGCTGCCCGTTGCTGCAGCCGTCCAGGCCTCGGCGGGGTGACGTGCGGGGCCTGCACGTGCAGCGGGAGACCCAGCTGCTCTTTTTTTAACGAGATGACTTGTTAGTTAGGGGACTGAATGCTTTACGTGAAGTCTGGGGCGTTTTCATTAGCAGAATGAAAGTATCACACCGAGGGACTCAAATGCGACGTTACCTTCACTGATAAAATTGACACCTTAAATTCTGCGGCCTGCTGATTTGGGGCTGTCAGCCTGTTGATTTGCCCGGTGCCTGAGAACACCTTCCTCAGCCTTAAAAAATTCTTTTTCTTTTTCTTTTTCTTTCTTTTTCTTTCTTTCCTTCTTTCCTTCCTTCTTGCCTTCTTTCCTTCTTTTCTTTGCTTTTCTTTCTTTTCTTTTCTTTTGACAGTTTTGCTCTTGTTACCCAGGCTGGAGTGCAGGCTCACCGCAACCTCTGCCTCCCGGATTCAAGTAATACTCCTGCCTCAGCCTCCTGAGTAGTTGGGATTACAGGCGCCCGCCACCACTCCCGGCTAATTTTTTTGTATTTTTAGTACAGATGGGGTTCAACCACGTTGGCCAGGTTGGTCTTGAGCTTCTGACCTCAGGTGATCTGCCCGCCTCAGCCTACCAAAGTGCTGGGACTGCCTAAAAATTCTTATGTGTAGTTCACACGTAACTTTTGTGAAAGTTGAAAGTTGTGTTTTACTCCATTTTCCTCCTTTGTAATTTAATTCCTCACTGATTTTTAAATGACATCTATCCTGTTTGTTTGTTTGTTTGTTTGTTTTGTTTTGTTTTGAGAGGGAGTTCCGCTCTTGTTACCCAGGCTGGAGTGCCATTGGCGCGATCTCGGCTCACCGCAACCTCCACCTCCTGAGTTTAGGCAATTCTCCTGCCTCAGCCTCCTGAGTAGCTGGGATTACAGACACGCACCACCATGCCCAGCTAATTTTTTGTATTTTTAGTAGAGACGCGGTTTCACCATGTTGACCAGGATGGTCTCGATCTCTTGACCTCATGATCCACCCGCCTCGGCCTCCCAAAGCGCTGGGATTACAGGCGTGAGCCACCGCACCCAGCCCTCTGTTTTGTTGTTTTTTTTAAGACGGAGTTTCGCTTTTGTTGCGGAGGCTGGAGTGCAATGGGGTTATCTCGGCCCACTGCAACCTCTGCCTCCTGGGTTCGAGTGATTCTCCTGCCTCAGCCTCCCAAGTAGCTGGGATTACAGGCATGCACTACCATGCCCGGCTAATTTTGAAATTTTAGTAGAGACGGGGTTTCTCCATGTTAGTCAGGGCGGTCTCTAACTCTGGACCTTAGGTGACCTGGCCTCCTAGGCCTCCCATAGTGCTGCGATTACAGACCTGATCCGCCGCGCCCAGCCCAGTATCTGTTCTTTGTGGTTTTAAAGTATGGCGCAAGGGTCATGAGACTCAACTCAGATTCTAAAGAGGCAAAAGTTGGCTCACAAAGGACAAAAGATCAATAAGAACTTTCTGGCTTTCAATATCTCACTTTTTAAAAATAGGAAACTATATGTGAGGTGATAATAAACACTCAATAATTTTGATTCCTTGGCTTCTGTTGTCTCAATTACTACTTTGAGGGATGTGTGTCTGTGTACTGAAGGAATCAGTTTGAAGCTTACTTTGTCAAATTTGAATAATGTTAGTAATTTTAGAATATACATCAGTGAACCTAGAGAACTGTATCGTCTTTGGAGAATTTTTGAAATAATAAGGCCTGTGTACTTTTTCTTTGGAGATTGTACTTAATCTAGCCTCAGAATCTGCAATTATTTTAATTCTATAATAGTTCTTTTAAAAAGCTTTTGGTTTAGAGTTCATTAGAAAATGTGTTTTAAACCAAATATTACAGTAAAGGAAAAAACACAGGTTTTAACCTTCTGTGGTCACTTTTTAAAAAAAGTCTGAGACCTTAAAATCAAGTATGATTTATATTTTGGAAGACCACACAATTGCTGCAGTAGTTGATTGAAAAAGCAAGACAAAACATTGTCTATGTAGTTATTAATAGGTTAGGAACATGTAGACTGCCCCAAGTAAGTATTAATTGCTTAAAGAAAAATTGGACCAAGCACAGCACGGTGGCTCATGCCTGTAATCCCAGCACTTTGGGAGGCCAAGGCAGGCTGATTGCCTGAGCTCAGGAGTTCGAGGACAGCCTTGGCAACACAGTGAAACCCCGTCTTGACTAGAATACAAAAAAATTAGCCAGGCATGGTGGCATGCACCTGTAGTCCCAGCCACTTGGGAGGCTGAGACAGAATTGCTTGAATCTGAGAGGCGGAGGTTGCAGTGAGCCGAGATGGTGCCACTGCACTCCAGCCTGGGCAGCAGAGCTAGACTCCATCTCAAAAAAAAAAAAAAGAAAAGAAAAAGTGTTCACTATCTTCTATGTTAATATAATATAGAAGAAAATATAATATGGTCACCCTGATAAATGAAACTATAGTGTCAAGAATTATTGAAGTATGGAAAGATTGTAGAACCGAATGAAAAAAATAGAGACTTATCATGTTAAAATACTGATTGAGATAGAGTAATATTGCCTTTTGGAAACTGTCTTTATTAAATTGGTCTTTATGATATTCCAAGAAATACAGTATAATAGAAATAAGAAAAATTGCTGCAGCCGAAAGACTTGAGCAGCTTGAAGAACTGTCTGTTTAGAAGAAAGCAGTATATAAAGTACATATCTGAAAGAAGGTATTTTGTGATAAGTGGCAGTTATTCATTGGTTCCATCAAAGAAGAAACATTAGAAAAGCTTGTGAAAAATAGGGAAAGTATATCGAGCCTGGCTTTTTTGTTTGTTTGTTTGTTTTTTAATGTTTCTTTGGAAAGACTTGCTGTCCTCCAAGGTTTTTGGTTTTGTTTTTGCTTTTTTTCCTTAATGCCCTTTGTACAATTTTCTTTGCATGTTTAACAGAAATATAGTATCAAATTTTTTAAAATTAAGATTTTTGTACAGGTACTGTTTGCTACTTCAAGTTAGTGAATTTCATTCCGTTACTTGCCATCTGTATAATAATGAAATTGTCAAATTTTTTTCAAGCACTTAGATCATATAATCATTTTCTTTTTCAAAGACAGTAATTGGATACACTGCTCACAGCAGCTTGAAATATTAAAACCATAGGTCACAATTCTGGATTCCATCTGACTGAAATTCGATTGTTCACAGAGATGTTATACATAATGCAGAAGTGTCTTTTCATTCTTTCATCTGCTTTTCTATGTAAAATCAGGCTAATGTTTTGCAACTATTGCTTTTGTTTGTTGTTTTGGTGGTGATTTGTTTTTGTTGTTGTTTTTGCCATGGGGTTGAGGACTAAAGGAAGTATCTTAAGAACTTGAGTGGTTTTTCAGCTTCATTGCTTTGCTGTCTTTATTTCAGAGCAATGAAGCTCTAAAATATTCAAGGATATTCAAATGAGAATACCCCAATGTGACTTTTCATTATTTCAGCAAAAGTTTAGAGTACTGTGTGCCAGTCACTGTTCTCAGGACTTTGAATACAGTAAATACAGCCAAATGTTGATATTCTCTTGTAGCTTACTCTCTAGTTTACAAATTAAAACTGGAATTTTGCTCTTTTGGTATTCCTAAATAAGATCTGTGTTATGATCCTTGTTCAAACTGGGTCAAGAAGCAGCCCTAAACTTGATCTCTTCTGGTCTTAATCTTTAAGGCATTCTAAACCCAGATTTGAATTGTCAGACTAATTTTTCTCCGGATCGTAGAAGCCCCTGTGTTAAATATTCTGCCCCTTTCGCTGAAATACGTATCATGATCCTACCACTCTAGCTTCCTTTGTATCGAGAAAACAAACAAGAATGAACAATAGGGAACATACAGGATCAGATAGACCCAAATTCAGCACTGGTCTACCAGCTGAGCTTACTAGCTTGGTAACCACGAGCAATTTATTTGACCTCCCGAAGCCTCGGTTTTCCTAAATCCAAATGGGGTTGTTTGGTGGAACCAGAATGTTCTATGTAAATCTCCTGGTCCAATGCCTGGTGCTAGAAGCTTCATTAATGCAATTATCTTTTCCCCAGTGTTGCTTCTGCTATCCTGGCTGTTGTGATTTGCCCACATGTCTGTTTAAGCTTTACCTTTTCTCCCACAGTACGGGATGCAGTGGCAGACTGATTGAGCCTCAGCCTTGGGCCCCTGTCAGCGTGCCCATGTAGTTGTCAAGATTTAATTTTTTTTTTCCTTTTCCTTGTAGGAAGGAGAAATCACTAATTTCCATGATTAGAAGATATAGAAAATAGAAAAGTTTCAAGAAAAGATTAAGGAATCTTAATCTTGGCACAGATCACCAAGGTAATTTGAATTGTTATAGGCAGACTTTCAACTAATTCTCCTAAACCTATTTAAATACTAAGCCCAACAATGAAGACCTTTCACACTGTAATCATACCCCTTATTTCCCATCTATACATCCAAACAGGATAGCCTCTGGGAAAAAAAAAAAAATATATATATATATATATATATATATGTTTATTTTAAAATTATACATATATTTATGTATTTTAAAATATATGCATTTACATATTTTTTTAAATTTTATATATATATATGTGTGTGTGTGTGTGTGTGTGTATATATGCTGTACCCAGCGTTAGTATCTTTGCTCATGCTGTCCTCTTCCTGAAACACTCTTTTTTCCTAGGAATTCCCGTCTATCAACATGCCACCTTCTTTCAGGTCGTTTCTCAAGTACCACCTTTAATAAGTATTTTCTGATATCCCTCCTCTTCCACTCTCTCCCAAACTATGCATGTTCAGTCCATTAACTTTCTGGAGCATTATACCTTTCTTATAGCATTTACTTTCCAGTGCTCCTCTTGTTTGTTTTTACTGTCATTATTGTTGTATGTAGAGTTTATGTCTTCCTATAAAAGGCTGCAGACTATATCTTATTCCTGTCTGTGCTGTCATACCTGGCACAAGACCATTCACATCATAGGTATTCAGTAAATATTTGTGGAGGTAAGCTGGCTCTTGGAGTATGATGAAACTAATCAGTAACTTTTATCCATGATTACACCCAGCATCAGCACAATGGCTACCATACATTAGACACTCAAATATCTATAAAATAAAAGAGCGAATAGTAAGGCATCATTCTCTCATTTGGGAGCTTCTCAGGGTGTCAGATAAGCATATATTGAGCACCCATTATATAATTGGAGCTATGAGAACTGAGAACTCTGCTCCTGAATTTAGTTGGAAAAAAAGTAAATTGTTATTAATTTCTGCTGACTTTGAAGATGGTAGATGTTTGAGTAGGGATGGCATGGAGAGCTCAGCATAGAGTTGTGTGCATTGTGAGAGATATCCTCCACTACCTGAACGCAGAAATCAAATAGATTTTGATATCAAGTATTTGGACACTTAACTTGTATTTCCACTTCTAGATATGTACCCAAGAGAACTGAAAACATGTTCACACAAAAACTTGCACACAAATATTTATAGCAGGCTTATTTGTAAAAGGCAAACTCAAATGTCCACTCATTATTGGATGACTAAACAAAATGTGATAGAGCCATACAGTGGAATGTTATTCAGCAACAAAAAGAAAACTAGCAATACCTGCTGTAACATGGATAAAACTTGAAAATATTGAAGTGAAAGAAGCCACACGCAAAAGGTGACATTTGTGTGATTCCGTTTATTTGAGATGTCTAGATTAGGAAAAACTAATAGAGACAGAAAGTACATTAGTAGATGGGAATGGGAATGACTGCTTTGGAAGAGATGAAAATGCGCTGGAATTAGATAGTGGTAGTGGCTGCATAACCTTATAGACTAAAATGTCTTGTATACTAATATGCAGTTGACATCTGAACAATGAGGAGGTTGGGGGTACTAACCCCTGTGTTGTCGAAAATCCATGAATAACTTTTGACTCCCTCAAAAATTAGCTACTTAAATAGACTGCTGTTGACTGGAAGCCCTACCAATAGCATGAATAGTTGATTAACACATGTTTTGTATGTTACACGTGCTGTGTACTATATTCTTACAATAAAATAAGCTAGAGAAAAAATGTTATTAAGAAAATCATAAGGAAGAAAAAATATGTTTACTATTTTTTGTTCATTAAGTAGAAGTGGATTATCATAAAGATATTCATCTTTGTTGTCTTTACATTGAGTAGGCTGAGAAGGAGAAAGAGGAAAGGTTGGTCTTACTGCCTCAGGTGGCGGAGGCCAGCGAAAATCAGCATCTAAGTGGACTCAGGCAGTTCAGCCCATGTTGTTCAAGGGTCAACCGAATTGTACACTAAAGGGGTCAGTTTCATGGTATGTGACTTATATCTAAAAAGAAAGAGAGAGATACTTAGACTTGAAGAGTGGAGAATTTTGAATGGGGCCAAAAGAAAGAAGCAATAGGTGTGAAAGCAAGGAAATGATTATTCTTTCTCAGATCCTAGCGAGAAATATAAGCAGCTAGGTACAGGGCTAAAGGTATGTTAAGGGTCAGGTGAGGATGGATATGAGGATAGTTTCTGGCTTTTTGTCTTAATGTAGAAGGGGTTGAGATAAATGCTTAGACTACAAAGTTATTAACAAAGGAGAAAGGCATCTTATGACCTTGAAGGAAGCTTCAGATTTCTTCTTGATTAGGTCACAGGTGTGGTATATGGTCTTTTTGGTTTCTGTGTTATGGTCAGGTGAGTTTAGAGAGCGAAAGTATTCTAAGGTAAGGAATCTAGTAGCAATCAAAACAAAGTTACTGGGAAAGACGGGCGAACAGAGACTATACAAAGATGTTAGAATTTGCTTCTAAATCTCTCCCCAGATAATGAAAATAGATAAATCTTAATGAGAAGGAACCAAGGGCAGTGATTTGGAGAAGTCAGTACGGATAAAGGTATTTGAAGAAATATTTGAGTGCCTTTTATGTGCCAGGCACTATTAAATAAAACTATAGCTATTTTCCTTATTTGACTTTTTTTCTGAAGATAAAATCTTATGAGTGTGATTAATGCTTATATGAGCATTGGTATTTTATAGTTCTAGATATGATAACCTACATTTCCCTAAAAGATCGTACTGATTTTTTATGATACCAGTAATGTATAAGGATGTTGTTTTCACCACAATTTTGCCAACAGAACTTTTTGGCTAATTGAACAGGCATGAAATTATTCTTGTTTGTGTTTGCATACCATGGAACCTGCATCTGTTGGAATATGAAGGAATTCAGGCCCCTTATATGTGTTCCTCCATGTGGCTTCTTTAAAGGATATGGATTTTTGAGGACCCTAGAAATCAAAATTCTCTTAATTTTATTCAGCTAAAAAAATACTTTTATTCAGTGCTGCTGTCCTTATTTTCTTAATAATATTCACATTTAGACCATACCGAGCCATAATTCCAATTCCCACTTAACAAACATTTTTTTAGTAATATACTAGGCACTACATATTATCTTAATTCTAACAATTTGGCATTTGTCCGTATGGGAAAAATGAGATTTAGAGAGATCAGGTCACTTACCCAAAAATCACTTAACCAGTAAGTGGCAGAGGCAGGATTTGGATGCAGATCCTCTCAAGCCAGTGATTATTCTCATACTCTATGATCTCTCAGTGTCACCACTAAAATTTGCTGGAAGATAATGGAAATTGGTCTAAATAAATCTGAACTGGAACTTGGACAATCAAGCACTGACTTACTTGTGTACATAAGCATTTAGCAGATATATTATTTATTGTTTTGTTTTGTTTTCACTGGGGAGGCTATAGTACCTAAAGAGTGAAAAATCTCGGTCTAGTTAAACCCACATTTTCAAGGCCTTCTGTGTTCTCCCTGATGATCAGGTACGTACTACCCCAAAATCTGTGATGGTAACGAAGGAGGAGGGAGGCAGTGGAAGCAAAGCGACTGCCTCTGGGTATACACAGTAAGATTTATGTGATTGTAGAAAGAGCAGGCGAATGGCTTGGCCTTCAGAGAATCCCACAAAGTAACCTTTTAAAATAGTAACTTAAAGTCTGACATAAGATTCCTAACAGGATATTCACGACAAGATAAGATATTCAAAGCATAGCATGTAAGATATTCAAAGCATAACATCAAAAGGGGAGAGATTCGCTCATTTTTATTCAAGTATGGTATACTCACAAAACAAATTTAATATCAGGAATATAAAATAAGAGATACCATGTTCCAGTTCTGGCTTTAGTCAGATATCATAAAATTTAATCCCAATTTATAAGTAAAGCAATTCAAGGCCCAAGATTACACACCAAATAAGTGGACTCTGGGCCGGTGCAGTGGCTTCTATAATCCCACCGTTTTGGGAAACCAAGGCAAAACGATTACCTTAGCCCAGGAGTTTGATACCAGCTTGGGCAAAACAGTGAGATGCTGTGTCTACAAAAAGTAAAAAATAGCCAGGCATAGTGGTACATACATGTGGTCACAGTTACTCAGCAGGCTAAGGCCAGAGGATCACTTAAGGCTAGGAGTCCAGGGCTGTGAGCTGTCATCGAGCCTCTACACTCCAACCTGGGTGACAGAGCAAGACTCTGTCTCAAAAAAAAAGGAGCGGGGGTACCTCTAGAACATAGGCCTTTAATCTGTGTGGTGGTTTTGTCATTTATATGTATAATTTTTAAATAATTTAATATGTTGGCCAGACACAGTGGCTCACATCTATAATCTCAACACTTTGGGAGGCTGAGACGGGAGGATTGCTTCAGGCCAGGACTTTGAGACTAACCTAGGCAACATAGCAAGACCCCATCTCTGTTAAACCAAGTAATAGTAATTTATTATGAGTTTGTTTTGTTTTGTTTTGTTCTTGAGACAGAGTCTTGCTGTGTCTCCCAGGCTGAAGTGCAGTGGTGCTAGCGGGCTCATGCAGTTCTCCTGCCTTAGCTTCCCGAGTGAGTAGCTGGGATTACAGGTGCTTGCCTGCTTCAAAAGAAATGGTATCTAGCACTCTATTTTTTTCTTTTCCAGCCTCAAAATTCATATCTCCTTCCCTCCCCCCCATCCACATGTCCTTCATTCCTCACCCCATAGCTTTAATTCCTATTCTCTTGAAACAAACCTTTATTTTTGTTGCTGGTAGCATAATGGTTACCATAACTTTTTGGCTTAATAATACTATCAGTTATATCAACAAATAATAAAATGTTCATACTCTTGAGCCACTAATTCCACATATAGACTTTATTCTGAAGAAATATTTTAAATAAGAAAAATAGTTAAAGGCACAAAATGTTCGTAGCACTGATATCTATACTGTCAAAAAAAATTGGCCGGGCACGGTGGCTCAAGCCTGTAATCCCAGCACTT